ATTTGTACCGACTGAATATTGATGAAAGTTCATCATTTTCTAATTATATTGATGCTTCTTTTGATGCTTTCATATGTATAGATGATCCATATTTATGGCACTTAAGATTAGGACATATAAATAAAGATAAAATGAATCAAATGGTTAAAAGAGGCTTGCTCCCTAATTTAGGAGAAATTATGTTCAAAACATGTGAGCCATGTATTTCTGATAAATTAACTACGAAATCTTTCCCTAAAGGAAAAGGTCTAGTGGGAGCAATTTTGTTATATTGTCACTATATGTGGATGATATTTTGATAGCCGGTAATAATATTGGCATGATTGACCATACCAAATCATGGCTATGTATTGGGCATTAAGATAACAAGAGATAGAAATACAAGACTTCTATGTTTATCTCAAGAAAATTATTTAGAAAGTATTTTAAAGAGATTTAAGATGAAAAATTACAAACTCATAGATATACATGTTTATAAAGGCTTCAAATTATAAAAGAAAATGTGTCCATTAAATGATAGTGACAAAGCTGAAATGGAAAAAATTCCATATGCTCAAGCAGTAGGATGCATAAATTATGTCATGTTATGTAAAAGACCTGATTTGAGTCATGCATATGGTCTTGTAAGTAGATTTCAGACTAATCCTATGATGGCTCATTGGCAAGCTGTAAAAAGGATATTCAGATATATTCAGAAAACTAAAAATTACAAGTTGTGCTTCCAAGCTGACAACTTAGAGGTTACTTGGTACTCTGATGCAGATTTTGCAAGAAACCCAGGTGATAGAAAATCGACCTCAGGAATTGTATTCCTCTTTGAAGGTGTATGTGTTTCTTGGTCTAGTAAGAAACAAGGTTGTGTAGCTCGGTATACTACAGAAGCCGAGTATATTGCTTGTAGCATTGCTACAACTTATGCCATCTGGATTAAACGCTTCATAAATGATTTGAAGCTTGATATAGCTAACGGACCTGTTAAAATTTTTTGCTGCTATTTCATTAATTAGAAATGGAGCTTATAGTTCTAAGGATAAGCACATTGAAATTGATTATCATTATATTTATGATATTATTGGAAAGAATGAAATAACTATAAGTTATTTGCCATCTTCATATATGATTACAGTTTAACAAAGGGATTGAGTGCAGAAATATTATCAAAGCATATAGCTTTGATGAGACTTAGAAATATTTAAGTCAGGGACGCCCAAATAGGATATTTTTTTATGTCTTGGTCATGAGAGGAAAAACCAATTAGCGTGAAAAACCATGACATGACTTTGGATATTTTTTGTTATGAGATGTATAACCGCATTTGCATGAAAGCCTCATGACAAAAATATGCACATAAATGTTAAATTCATTAAGTGGTAAAGATTATGATATTTCAATATATCTGGCCCTTATGGCCAAGTAGAAGATGTTGGTACGTGTGTATGGCCATGAGACCTTTAAACATGCAATATTTCTCTCTTTTATAATTTAATGTTTATCACTAAAAGAGGGATGATTCTCAGAGAGAGAAAGTACCGTTATCTAATGGCTAGAAAGTAACCACCCACTTACCAAAATTACAGGGCCACGTTTTCTCAAAGATTTCAGGAGGAAGCTGAACGTTGGAGAACAACCTCCTTCATCCCTCTTTAAGAAGAGTTTCATGGCCATGAAAAGGGACATTGAAATTTACAAACTTCTTACAGATCTGGTAAAAGCCTTATCTTTGCGATCGATAGTCTCAAGACACTAGTCCTAATCTTAGGAGTGGATCCATCTCTTCCCTCAAGTTTTTCAACATTTAAATCCTTATGGTTTCAAATAACCGAAAATTTTTAAGTTGAGTTTCTAGCTCCTTGATCTTATACCACCAACAATATTTGGCCCCCAACATACTCTCTCTCACACTTATCATGACTTGGATTCTTAATGAAACAAGGAAGTGTCGGGATTCTTTTGACTAAAATTATGAAGAGGGGATGGCATCAGATTCACTTATTATGATACAGATTCTTAGTTCTATAGATGAATCATTAGATTTGGATTGCTTTTCCTCGATGCAGTATAAGAAATTTGAGTAAAGAGCAATTTTCTCAAAAAGATAATATTGCCCTCGTGTATTAGTTATATAGCGCTTCATGCAGCAAATAAAGGTTTGGTGAAGGGATCATCAGTTGTTGTTGTTGCACCTACTTGGGCTGGTCCTCTTCCTATTACATTTGGTTGAATTCAAATATGGAATCAAGGTAAGCAAATGACATGGTAGTTTAATTTATATGTCATTATATAAATTGACGTCTTGACTCTTGAATAAAATTGATCATTCCAGTTATCTGGACACAGCTGGAGAAGTTATGCCTGACCCATCAGTCTTAGGATTAGATTGGGTGAGAACCTTTGTTGGAGGACTGGTCTAAGAAGGGTGAGAACCTTAAAGTTGTCCTTAACCCGTCCTATGCTTGGGTAAATAAGTTGGGTTGTAATAGGGTAGGCAGCCAACGTAAAACATTGCCAAAACTTATCATGAATCCTAAAACTACACTATCTGCTTATGCTAGGACGATCCCCAGAGGCGATGCGCTATACTGCAACCTGCGTCCAATGAGAAATGAGCAAGGGTTGGCTAGGGCGCTCTCCAAAATGATAAAAAATAGGCAAGGGTTCCTACGACATTCTGGATGAGCACGGGTAAAGAAGTTAATCTAAGAGAATAGGATTCCTCTAGCCACATAGAATGTAGGAACGCTTACAGGTGAGAATATGGAATGAGTGGATACAATGAGACGAATGAGAGTAAACATAGCATGTGCACATGAAACTAAATGGAAGGAGAGAAAGCTAAAGAAATAGATTCGTATAAACTTTGATAGACAAGAAAGGATAAATATAGAAATGGCGTAGGCATAATAGTAGATAAAAATTAAAAAAATAAAGTAGTTAATGTCAAGAGAATAGGTGATAGGCTCCTATTAATTAAACTTGTATAAGGGGAAAAGATAATTAACATAATTACTGCTTATACACCGTAAGTAGGATTAAATGATAGAATTAAAAGACAATTTTGGGAGGGCATGGATGGAATCGTCCAAGACATACCAATGAAGAGAGGACTTTTTTACGAGGAGACTTAAAATGGTCATGTAGGGAAAGATAGTAGAGGACATGAAGGGTTACATGGGGGATATGGATTTGGTGAAAGAAATGAGATGGATGAGGCTATTCTAGATTTTTCTATAGCCTACGATCTAGCAATAGCAAATACTTACTTTAAAACGGGAGATGAATATTTAATAACTATTCTTAGTTAAGAAGGTAGATCGACCATCATGTAAAGACTGCAAGATTATCTCTTAAGAGAGTTTCACTGGGCAACATAGGCTCGTGGTTATGGACGTTTGTATAAAAACATGGAAGAGAAGGGGTAAAATTAATAAGTGTCCAAAAACTAGGCGTTGGAATTTAAAAATGAAAAAATAAACTTATTTAGGCATAAATTAGCTAAAGAAGCAAAATAGAACTTTGAACATGAGGTCAATGTTATGACGAATGAGATGGCTGACTATATCAAGAAAATGGCACAATAAATTTTTGGATAATCTAGAGGGAAAATAAATTCTGATAAAGACACTTGGTGGTAGAGTGATGAAGTTCAAAAGGCCATTAGCAAAAAACGATCATGTTATAAAACTTAATAGTGCAATAGAAAAGATAAAAAATATGCATTCAAATTAGCAAAAATGAGAGAGCAAAAGTGCAAAGATATAGACCATATTAAATGCATTAATAAAAAAATTCTTGGTAAAAGATGACGAGGTCAACAAAAGGTGGAGAGTTTATTTTTAAAAAGTATTAAATGATGAACACAATGGGAACATAGCGGTAGAAGGAACCGTTGGCATAAATGAAGGCAGAGATTACAGATATATTTGTAGGATTAGGATATCGGAAGTGAAAGAAACTCTGAAAATGATGAAGATAGAAAAGTCTTTAAGACCAGATGGTATCCCAATAGAGATTTGAAAGTGCATGAGAAAGCTTGGCATTGACTAGTTGACCAAATTGTTGAATAAAGAAAATGTTCGACAAATAGAGGAAAAGTATTATGGTACCTATCTACAAGAACAAAGGAGAGACACATAATTATACGAACTATTGAAGGATCAATAACTATGAAGCTCTAGGAGAGAGTGAATGAGCAATGACTAAGGAATGAAATGAGTGTATCAAAAAACCAATTCTGTTTTATGCCGAAGAGGTTAACAACTGAAGCTATTTTCCTACATAGGCAACTAATTGAGAAGTTTAGGGCGAAGGGAAAATAGCTCCATATGGTTTTTATTGATCTAAATAAAACTTATGATAGATTACTTTGAGATTTGATTTGGTTAGTGTTAGAGAAGAAAGGAGTCTCTAGACACTACATCGACTTATTGAGAGACGATGGAGTGCTAATTAGGATATGAATAACTAGTGGAGAGATGAGTGAGTTTTCAATAATAATAAGTCTACATCAAGGGTCAGCATTGAGATCATACCTTTTTTTCTGTTATAGACAACTTAACTAAGCACCTACAAGATGAGGTAGATGATGTATTGTGGTGCATGTTGTTCGTAGACGATATAATTTTGATCGATAAAACCCAAAACGGTATCAACACAAAGTTAAACCTTTCGAGGGATGCTTTAAAATCTAAAAGTTTTAGAATTGGCGGATTAAGATAGAGTATATAAAATGCAATTTTAGTAATAATAGGAGTAGAGACAATAAGTAATTAAGATTGATGGCCAAGAAATACCAAAAAGAGCACACTTTCGATATCTTTGATTGATAATCTAAGAAAATTGAGAGATTAAGGCCTAATTTGGATGTCAAAGAAAAAAATACACATTGAAAAAAATGCAATTATTTTCTTCTTCAATTGAAAAACATTATCGTTTTATTTTATTGTGTTGGTAGACTGTTCTGATGTCTATTAAAATATGAGAAGAAAATTTTATTTGCCAGATATGTTTGTTTGGATGCATTACAATAAATTCTAAATTCATATTTTTCCTATTTGCTCCACAATAATAAACAAAAGGGACCCAAAATAGAGCGTCCTTGCTCTTATTTGCTCGTTGAACCTCTTCTGTATGGTTCTTCACTTTGGTAAAACAATTCCAAACACTTCAATTGCTACAGATAAACGTCCTGGCTCCTTACTTTGCTAATATTAACATACGTAAACATGGCAGGTAAGTTTGTCCTCTGTGCCCTTTTCAATAATTCTTCTCCTTACCATGTATTATACTTTTGTCAAACTTAAGAAACCATAGACTATATAAAAAGCTCCCGCTCCCAACAATTCAACACCATAACATCATAGAAGAGGTGTACAAACAGTAAGAAGCAAACACCCTATGTCTTTTTGTCACTATCAATGCTCTTTCTAGCTTTTCCACCACAATTGCCTCAAACCTGCAATCGCAAAGCAAGGAGAAGCACTCAGAAACTCAAAAAAAGGAAAATAAATGCAATGTCCTCTTCATCTCTTTCTAGTTTAATCCAAAAATTTCCACTTAATATTCGTCAAAACCCTTCAAGAATCTAATCTACAACACCTAAAGGCATCAAATAAAAGCTCCTTGGACTCTGTTCTTTTGTTCATTCAAGTCATAATTTTCACTTTATTTCGATCAAATAACTCGAAGATCTATTGCTGAAAATTAGATGAAGTGCTAAAATGCTAACACATAAAGCAAATAAATTCATGTTTCCTTCCAACTCCTTCAATCCAAATATCATTCTCAGTAACTTAGTCAAAAGCAAAGCATAAACAAAGAAGAAACTAAGAAAAAAAAGGAAAATCAGTCTTCAAAGCTCCTACCTAAGCTTTCTTCATTTCATACTCCAGAAAACAATTTCTAGGCAAAAGGCACGACCAAAGCAAAGATCTACAATAAATATCATGATTTATCGCCCTTTTCAATACATAAACGAAGCAAAAACAAGCTTTGATCATAACAGGTCTCAGAGTTAAAAAACACTTCTTGCATGCAAGACGCAGAAACAGAGTCACGTGAAGGAGCCCTTACCATAGGTGCTCTGTGTCCATGTAAGAGAAAGAGAAAAAAATTACAGAGAGGCACGAAGAAGCTCTTGTAGGTTTTCTTCCTCCTCTCTCTAGCCGCGTACAACTCGGTGTCTCTCCCTTCTCTTGTGCCTCTCCTACAAATGCTTTTCTTCTCGCGCATGAGAGAGAGTAGAAGGAGATGAGGAGGGAGGATAGGGAAGAGCGTGAGGGTTAGAGAGAGAGGCGTGAGAAACGTGACTCAAGCCAAAAAAAATTCAAGTCTAACTTGAATTTTTTTGGATGGCAATTTTTTCCTTGATATGGGATTTTTTTTTTCTTTCAAACTAAAAATCTAGGAAAAGCATTCAGTTGTCCAAACAGTCAAAGTAGGTTTCACAAGATTTTTTTATTGCAATCCAAAAATAGTCTAATTTTGGGTACATCCAAATTAGCCCTAAGGAAATCACACATAGAATTAGAGCTGAGTGAGCGAAGAGGAAATATGCAACTGGAATTTTATGTGATCGCTGCATACCAATGACGCTAAAGGACAAGTTCTATAGGACAATTGTGAGACTAATTTTCCTCTATGGGGCAAAATGTTGGGCAGTCAAAAAACAATATGCTCATAGGATGAGTGTAGCGGAGATGAGGACATTGAGATGGATGAGTGGCAAGACAAGAAGGGATAAAATTCGAAATGAATATATTTGGAAAAATTTACGTGTGGCACCAATAAACGATAAGATGAGAGAATAGACCTAGATGGGTTGGCCATGTGTAGCGCAGACCCAGTACAACACCTGTTAGGAGGTGTAATTTAGTTCAAGTGGAAGGCTAAAAAAAGGCAAGGGATAGACCCAAAGGGATATGATTGGAAGTATTGAGAAAAGATATGGGAACTTATGGCTTCATTGAGGGTATATAGCCCATAATAGAGCAATGGCAGACCAGGATTCATGTAATCAACCCCAATTAGTTGAAAAAGGCTTTGACGATGTTGATGATTCGATTATTTTGCTTAGTATCTCTTTCTTTTATTATTGTTGTAGTAAGAAATATACAAGTGGCAAAAGTAGGTGAATGGGAAAGACTTTTTTGGTATAAGTTAGTGACATCTAATGATGATACATCAACTGAAAGTTACGTAAACAGTTTATGTTTGTATGCATCGACTACTAAAGAAAGACTAAGAGATGAGACATTCTCCAAATCCAAAGTAGTAAATAGGCATCAGCAAAGCTCTTCAACAGATAAACTCAGCTTTCCTGCAAAAACCAAAAGAATGTGACTTCTAGCAAAAGAAGTGTGACAAGTATAAAAGAGAAAAATGATCATGAATTAATGCAATTGACAACCCTATTTTGAGCATGGCGTACAAAAGGAATGATTTAAGGCACCACTCATTAGGAGTAAAGATCAGCAAGTTTATGCCTAAAGCCCATGGAAATGACATTGATGGCCAAGCTAGACGTGATAAAAGTCAATGCATAGCTCAAAGGCCAGAGCTAAGTTGTTCATGAGCTGGTTTAAACTTAACCACCACAAGGATAGTAAATCCCGTATTCTTTTAGAACATTTTTATGAATCTATATTACAGTCTCTTCAACATTTGACATATTGATGAATCTTTCCCAAATTGGAACAAAGAGATTTGGTTCTCCTAGTTATTGCCCTGTCCTTCTTGAAATCAATTATCTAAATTAAGTATATAACCATAGAAACCAAATAAGTAGTTGCCAAACCCAAGATTGATGTTCTGGAGGGAATCTTTAAACGCATCACAACAAGAAGCCTCAAAAGTGCAAAAGAATGGCAGCATATAACTCACATTCTCCCAAAGCAAGGCTCACAAACCACGAGTGGACCGAGAAAAATAGGCATTACAGGAGTGCTTTTTTATATCTGGAAAATCACTACCAATGAATAACACTACCAATGAATAACACCACAAATTCCGAAGTATAAACTGCAAAATAGTCAAGGAATTCTGTGATATTAGAAATTTCCATGACCAGCCCATTAAAGTGAATACAATACGACAAACAAAATAAAAACAAAAATAGGTAAGCATAAGAAAACACAAAGGGACAATAAAATATTTCAAATTACTTGACAACAGAAAAACAACACAGATGAATCTTGACAAACATTTAATTATAAAAATAAATGATAGCTTATGACAAATATAGCAAATTGAACAAATCAACAAGGCTTTTCATCGGAGAGAGAAAATGAGAAAGAAAAATGAAGAAGATAAAGAAATATAATTCCGAGTAAGGTCATAACCAAGAAGTAACCCCGGATTCTTTATTTTAGTAATAAGCTGTATTAGTACTACCTGAACTAATACTATAACAAACTCCATATACTGTAAAGAAAGATTATACTTGCATGACAAATTTTCATAAATGATAATTGAAAGCGTCTGAAATTTTCCCCAAAAATGTCCCATAGATAAAGATATAGATCTACTTCAATGAAATCTTTAAAGCAAGTTAGCATGAAATTAAAACCGACATATTTGCAGGCAATCAACACAACGAACACAACAGCAAGTTTTAGTATGCCATAAATGCAACTCAATATCATAGAGCTTACCAATATTATGAAATGACACAATATTATATGATCAATTTCAAATATGTCACATAATTAAAAAGATTAATTACCGGACTAAAGGAAAGTACAGAATCCTATATTACAAAAGAGCCTACCACTAGAGAAAAGTTGTTCTGCTGATCTACCACAATAAAAAAATTAGCATCTGGTATTTCTGCTTACTGGCAAACATGACCTTCCTACAACAGCTTACATCACAACAAAAGCAGTTAACTAGAAAACCCAATTTCAATATGTACAGTAAAAAATGCTAGACATCTTCCTTCTAAGCATGGAGCGGCGTGTGGGTGTCAGTGTTTCAAAAATGTTAGGCAGGTCCTAAGCGACCTGGGGGGGTCCGAGCCGCCTAGCGCCTAGGCGGGTGCCCAGAACCTAGGCAGCCCAGTCGAATCCAAAAAGGATACCCATTTGAATAAAAAAAAGATATAAAGTATAAAAAATAAAAATTAGGTATTTAGGGCACTTACTTTGAATTTGACTGCTCAATCTTCAAATTTTCACCTTAAAGATGCTTCTAAGGACTCAAAATCTTCTAAAAAACCCCCCAATAGATTTATAAAACATCAAAAATTAAATCTAATATCAATGAGTGATGTTTTGATCAATTTTTGTCGACTTTGATAAACCCTTCAATCCTAAAGAAATCACCAAAAACTAGTTTTTTGGAGCCTTTCTCTTTCTAAAATGGGCTCCTTTTAGTTTTAGGTTTCAAATAAAATTAAAACCATCCTTCTAACCTTTTATATTTTTGTTAAAAAAATCAATACAAAAAAAAAAATTCCACCTCTGGGCGAGGCGCCCACCTAGGTGGGTTCCGTACCGCCTAGGCGGGGCACAGGCGGGTTCTGTACCTCCTAGGCTCAGGGACTACCGCCCAGATTGGCCGCCTAGGACTAGGCGATGCGCCCACACCTAGGCGATGCGCCCATTCCTTCTGGACTGCCTAAGCGCTGGGTGGTCCGCTTTTTGAATCACTGGTAGGTGTTGAGGATCTACCAAAAAAACCTAGATCATTTGCTGATGTTACAGCGGGGGTTCAGCCAAGATCAATTGTTGTCGAAGATCTCCCATCTCCTGATAGAGTCGGAGCTTTCGTGAAAGTTTGTGTGCCAAATCAGGCATATCAAAGAGGTTTAGAATATTGTAAGTTCTCTTTAATTGGTAGAATAAATTTGTTTGCTACCAGTATCTTCAAAATAAGATCTATTGTAAAAGATCTATGGAAATTAACTTCACCAATCAATTTGATTCTTCTTGGAAGAGGGTTCATACATATAAAATTCCAGAATCAAAATGATATGATTCTTGTGTGGAAGGGAGGACCGTGGAGATTGGATGGGCAAATTCTTTGGCTACAGCAGTGGAGGCCGGATTTTAATCCATCAATGCAAAGGATGGATCATGCTTTGATTTGGGTTTGCTTCCTGGACCTTGAACAAGAATATTGGGAGCCAGAGACTTTGTACACTTTGGCAAAGCTATTGGTACGCCAATCGATAGTGATAAAATACTAGAGCTCTAACATGTGGTCATTTCGCCCATGTTTGTATTGATATTGATATCAATAAAGAATACCCAAGAGAGATAATGGTGGAGCGACCAAAGATTGATGGAACAGGGGTAGTATCTTTCATGCAAAAAGTGGTTTTGGAAAATCCACCGAAGCAGTGCAATTTTTGTAAATTGATTGGCCATGATGTGGTAAATTGCAAAAACGTTGCAAAAACTTAAAGAGAGATGAGGTGCACACTAAAGAAAGACAAAGTAATTAGTTCTATCATGA